AATCGGATATGATTTTGCCGACTGCGACCTCTCATTTCCGAAGCACTAATTCTTTGATGCAGTTTCCGCCCGAAATCCGGGCGGAACAAAATCGGCTTGAAAAACTCACATAAGTGGTTAACAGTTCATGACAACGATGTCTACTCACGGTTTATATAATATAGATCTCATATATATGTCACAGACACAAATATATAGTATATTACGGAATAGAACACTCAAAATACATGTCCATGTCGTTGTAGCACATCTCTGACCTACATTTAAAACATGGCTTCTGGATTAATACAAAATATCAGGGGGGATTTCAAACGGAACGAAATGATACGGAGTTTGTTTGTATTCCGCTTGTGAAACATTACATGTAATCCATTTTTGTATTAACCGGAAAAATCATGGCAAAAGCTGTCTGCTTCGCTTTGAATGAGGAAAAACTCATTATTTATGTCTTTGACATGAATTTTTTCTCATATAATCATGGATTTATGGAAAAGAATATTTATTGGACCCTTTTGACTATTTAAATGTATGTAAACACGATATACTCTTTCTTAATCCGAACTTTGAAAATGTGATAGTCAGCATCGGGAAAATCAGCTATGGGCAGTTAGAGGTTACGCGGCACCTGTCAAAAGTTTTTCGCCGTGTAAAACCTCTAACATTGTTGGAGTAAGTAAGCCATGTGCCTTACCACAAACACAGAATCACAATACAAGGCTATACTTCTGATCATGTCTGAAATNAACCAAACATATGTACTGCCTATATAACCAAACATATGTACTGCCTATATAACCAAACATATGTACTGCCTATATAACCAAACATATGTACTGCCTATATAACCAAACATATGTACTGCCTATATAACCAAACATATGTACTGCCTATATAACCAAACATATGTACTGCCTATATAACCAAACATATGTACTGCCTATATAACCAAACATATGTACTGCCTATATAACCAAACATATGTACTGCCTATATAACCAAACATATGTACTGCCTATATAACCAAACATATGTACTGCCTATATAACCAAACATATGTACTGCCTATATAACCAAACATATGTACTGCCTATATAACCAAACATATGTACTGCCTATATAACCAAACATATGTACTGCCTATATAACCAAACATATGTACTGCCTATATAACCAAACATATGTACTGCCTATATAACCAAACATATGTACTGCCTATATAACCAAACATATGTACTGCCTATATAACCAAACATATGTACTGCCTATATAACCAAACATATGTACTGCCTATATAACCAAACATATGTACTGCCTATATAACCAAACATATGTACTGCCTATATAACCAAACATATGTACTGCCTATATAACCAAACATATGTACTGCCTATATAACCAAACATATGTACTGCCTATATAACCAAACATATGTACTGCCTATATAACCAAACATATGTACTGCCTATATAACCAAACATATGTACTGCCTATATAACCAAACATATGTACTGCCTATATAACCAAACATATGTACTGCCTATATAACCAAACATATGTACTGCCTATATAACCAAACATATGTACTGCCTATATAACCAAACATATGTACTGCCTATATAACCAAACATATGTACTGCCTATATAACCAAACATATGTACTGCCTATATAACCAAACATATGTACTGCCTATATAACCAAACATATGTACTGCCTATATAACCAAACATATGTACTGCCTATATAACCAAACATATGTACTGCCTATATAACCAAACATATGTACTGCCTATATAACCAAACATATGTACTGCCTATATAACCAAACATATGTACTGCCTATATAACCAAACATATGTACTGCCTATATAACCAAACATATGTACTGCCTATATAACCAAACATATGTACTGCCTATATAACCAAACATATGTACTGCCTATATAACCAAACATATGTACTGCCTATATAACCAAACATATGTACTGCCTATATAACCAAACATATGTACTGCCTATATAACCAAACATATGTACTGCCTATATAACCAAACATATGTACTGCCTATATAACCAAACATATGTACTGCCTATATAACCAAACATATGTACTGCCTATATAACCAAACATATGTACTGCCTATATAACCAAACATATGTACTGCCTATATAACCAAACATATGTACTGCCTATATAACCAAACATATGTACTGCCTATATAACCAAACATATGTACTGCCTATATAACCAAACATATGTACTGCCTATATAACCAAACATATGTACTGCCTATATAACCAAACATATGTACTGCCTATATAACCAAACATATGTACTGCCTATATAACCAAACATATGTACTGCCTATATAACCAAACATATGTACTGCCTATATAACCAAACATATGTACTGCCTATATAACCAAACATATGTACTGCCTATATAACCAAACATATGTACTGCCTATATAACCAAACATATGTACTGCCTATATAACCAAACATATGTACTGCCTATATAACCAAACATATGTACTGCCTATATAACCAAACATATGTACTGCCTATATAACCAAACATATGTACTGCCTATATAACCAAACATATGTACTGCCTATATAACCAAACATATGTACTGCCTATATAACCAAACATATGTACTGCCTATATAACCAAACATATGTACTGCCTATATAACCAAACATATGTACTGCCTATATAACCAAACATATGTACTGCCTATATAACCAAACATATGTACTGCCTATATAACCAAACATATGTACTGCCTATATAACCAAACATATGTACTGCCTATATAACCAAACATATGTACTGCCTATATAACCAAACATATGTACTGCCTATATAACCAAACATATGTACTGCCTATATAACCAAACATATGTACTGCCTATATAACCAAACATATGTACTGCCTATATAACCAAACATATGTACTGCCTATATAACCAAACATATGTACTGCCTATATAACCAAACATATGTACTGCCTATATAACCAAACATATGTACTGCCTATATAACCAAACATATGTACTGCCTATATAACCAAACATATGTACTGCCTATATAACCAAACATATGTACTGCCTATATAACCAAACATATGTACTGCCTATATAACCAAACATATGTACTGCCTATATAACCAAACATATGTACTGCCTATATAACCAAACATATGTACTGCCTATATAACCAAACATATGTACTGCCTATATAACCAAACATATGTACTGCCTATATAACCAAACATATGTACTGCCTATATAACCAAACATATGTACTGCCTATATAACCAAACATATGTACTGCCTATATAACCAAACATATGTACTGCCTATATAACCAAACATATGTACTGCCTATATAACCAAACATATGTACTGCCTATATAACCAAACATATGTACTGCCTATATAACCAAACATATGTACTGCCTATATAACCAAACATATGTACTGCCTATATAACCAAACATATGTACTGCCTATATAACCAAACATATGTACTGCCTATATAACCAAACATATGTACTGCCTATATAACCAAACATATGTACTGCCTATATAACCAAACATATGTACTGCCTATATAACCAAACATATGTACTGCCTATATAACCAAACATATGTACTGCCTATATAACCAAACATATGTACTGCCTATATAACCAAACATATGTACTGCCTATATAACCAAACATATGTACTGCCTATATAACCAAACATATGTACTGCCTATATAACCAAACATATGTACTGCCTATATAACCAAACATATGTACTGCCTATATAACCAAACATATGTACTGCCTATATAACCAAACATATGTACTGCCTATATAACCAAACATATGTACTGCCTATATAACCAAACATATGTACTGCCTATATAACCAAACATATGTACTGCCTATATAACCAAACATATGTACTGCCTATATAACCAAACATATGTACTGCCTATATAACCAAACATATGTACTGCCTATATAACCAAACATATGTACTGCCTATATAACCAAACATATGTACTGCCTATATAACCAAACATATGTACTGCCTATATAACCAAACATATGTACTGCCTATATAACCAAACATATGTACTGCCTATATAACCAAACATATGTACTGCCTATATAACCAAACATATGTACTGCCTATATAACCAAACATATGTACTGCCTATATAACCAAACATATGTACTGCCTATATAACCAAACATATGTACTGCCTATATAACCAAACATATGTACTGCCTATATAACCAAACATATGTACTGCCTATATAACCAAACATATGTACTGCCTATATAACCAAACATATGTACTGCCTATATAACCAAACATATGTACTGCCTATATAACCAAACATATGTACTGCCTATATAACCAAACATATGTACTGCCTATATAACCAAACATATGTACTGCCTATATAACCAAACATATGTACTGCCTATATAACCAAACATATGTACTGCCTATATAACCAAACATATGTACTGCCTATATAACCAAACATATGTACTGCCTATATAACCAAACATATGTACTGCCTATATAACCAAACATATGTACTGCCTATATAACCAAACATATGTACTGCCTATATAACCAAACATATGTACTGCCTATATAACCAAACATATGTACTGCCTATATAACCAAACATATGTACTGCCTATATAACCAAACATATGTACTGCCTATATAACCAAACATATGTACTGCCTATATAACCAAACATATGTACTGCCTATATAACCAAACATATGTACTGCCTATATAACCAAACATATGTACTGCCTATATAACCAAACATATGTACTGCCTATATAACCAAACATATGTACTGCCTATATAACCAAACATATGTACTGCCTATATAACCAAACATATGTACTGCCTATATAACCAAACATATGTACTGCCTATATAACCAAACATATGTACTGCCTATATAACCAAACATATGTACTGCCTATATAACCAAACCATTCGCTATTGATCTTGTAATCCAACAACTGGCTTGTAATCAAATAAGTGACTTTGAAATCTATCAACTGACCTTGCGATCGATCAAGGCACTGCATAACTCAGGAAAACCTTTATATTTAAAGGATTTGTTAACAGGAAAGTGAACCTTCATCACCAACCAAAAATGTATGTCAGTAAGCAATGTAGGCTATAATTCTATACTGTAGTAATGGTTTTTGAGCCCAGAAGGTGAAATGCAACCTCATAAAAGAGGTGATATTTGTGAACAGGTGTGTGAAATGATAAAAATTCCAGTTAAAATGGAACCCTGTACAAGAGATGAGGTTTGTGAACACATATACAAAGTCTCATAACAATCAGTGTAGGAAATGAAGTCTGTTGAGGGATGGATTTGTCAAGGACATGAATGTAAGAGCTTGTATACCTACAACCTTATAATAAACTACTAAACTTGCCAGTATATAATGAACTCACTAAGCAGTCTTGCATGGACTCTTTGGCCTTATCATTAGGTCAAAAGACTGACAGGGATAACTGACTTCATGCATTTGGTTATATCTGTCAGCAAATTTCTTTGTTTTGTTTCTACAAACCAAACCACATGAACCACTGTGATATTGCTATACGAATGGTTACCGTTTACCCAGGGTGACTCCGGCCAGCTTGATGAGTCCCCTCATACAGGGAGTGGTAATAAGTAGGCCTTCATCCCCATCAGCAGCCTCATCGTAGCTCTGGACCTGGTCTACAACAAACTGGGCGTGTCGCAGCAGAGAGTCCTCCGTCAGACTCAACAAACCAGTTGGGGGAACTGTCGTCTACAACAGCCAAAGGTTACGTATAAACAACTTTCATCACAAAATATTGTATTGTAAGTATGGAAATGCTCAATGTTGAAATGTTAGGGTTTGGATGAGTACACTCTAATATAAAACATACACAGTATTAACAGAGAGAATCATATCTAATTCTTGCTGTCTTATCTGTTCAAAATCTTATTTAACCATACTTTAAATAAATGTACACCAGAGGCCCTCAGCCCCCAGACTTACCTCTATTTTGTTGAGAAGATCCTCATATGTAGCGTCCTGGTGGCGTTGTAGAAACTCAATGAGCACCTTGCCAATGTGAATCTTCTCTCTCATGGTGGCCATGAACGGTTTGTATGCTTCACTGGCGCCCATCAGGATGTACTCGGCGTAGGCTGGGGACAGAAACATGATCTTTATCTACTCTGTATAAATTGGGGCACAATAACAACAGGGTCACTTAACCTCATCCTTCTTTTCACAGAAAAAGCATTCTACGGCTATTTTTTAAAATATATAAAACTGTATCAAACTTCATCTGCCTTATGTTGCTCTATTTTTAATTTTAAGTGATATGACAAAGAACTAATATACTTCAGGTCTAAACATTAAAAAAATGTCTATTCAGATTAGTCCGGGAAAAGTACAATTATATCACCTGTACTAAACCCAATGAGTGCATTCTCTCCACCATCAAAGCCTGCCGTCCACCACTCGTTGATCGGGCCCATGTTTCTACAAGGCACACCACCTGTAAATGGAGTTGACAGAGCAGCATCAAGACCAAGTGAGTTTCATGGCAGTTTAAAAGGAGTACATTTGAGGAATGTATATATTTACTTTAGAACATGTTATAGACATAATGATAACAGCATAGGAAATCCTAAGATCTATTACAGTAAAATATCTACCCCATGGAGGTGAAGTTTTCAAACTGGGACCAACAACAATAGATTTATCCAAACTAGGCAATGAAATAGAATAAATCTGCTGTAAGTAGTAACCATCCATAAAACTAGTCTATTCTTTGTAGTTGTCTACCCATAGAAGCCACATTTATTTCTCATGACTTCTCTATATGCACCAACATCAGCAAACTTACCCCGACTTACCATTATGTGTTAATTGTACAAACTTACCATTATGTGTAAACTGTACAAACTTACCCTGACTTACCAGTATGTGTATACTGTACAAACTTACCCCGACTTACCATTATGTGTATACTGTACAAACTTACCCCGACTTACCATTATGTGTATACTGTACAAACTTACCCCGACTTACCATTATGTGTATACTGTACAAACTTACCCCGACTTACCATTATGTGTATAC